GGAATCCAAACTTACATGGCTTGGAAAGATGAGTTTAATTTCTCTAGCCACACCCAGGCCTGATTACTGCCACACCTGTTCTCAATCAAGAAATCACTTAACTAGGACCTGCCTTACAAAGTAGAGAAGACCAAAAGATCCTCAAAATCCAGACGTCATGCCGCGATCCAAGGAAATTCAGGAACAAATGAGAAACAAAGTAACTGAGATCTCTCAGTCTGGAATAGGTTATAAAGCCATTTCTAAAGCTGTGGGACTCCAGTGAACCACAGTGAAAGCCATTATCCACAACTGGCAAAAACATGGACCAGTGAAGAAGCTTCCCCGGCAGACCAAAATGACCCCAAGAGTGCAGCAACGACTCATCCAAGATATCTCAACAGATCCCAAACCAACATTCAAAGAACTGCAGGCCTCACTTGTCTCAGTTAAGGTCAGTTTTCATGAATCCACAAAAAGAGAGACGCTGGGGAAAAAATGGCCTGCATGACAGATTTCCAAGACTAAACCACCGCTGAGCAAAAGGAACATAAAGGCTCCTCTCAGTTTTGTCAGAAAACATTTTTATAATTTCCAGAACTTTTTTGGAAAAATACTCTGACGACACAAAAGTTTTTGGAAGGTGTGTTTCCCATTACATCTGGCGTAAAACGAAAACAGCATTTTCAAAAAGGAACATCATCAACATCATACTGACAGTAAAATACGGTGGTGGTAGTGTGATGAGCTGGGGCTGTTTTTCTGCCTCAGGACCTGGAAATCCATGAATTCTGCCGTCTACCAAAACATCCTGGAGGAGAATGTCCAGCATCTGTTGATGACCTCGAATTAAAGCGCACTTAGCTTCTGCAGCAGGACAATGATCCAAAACACACGAAAAAGTCCCTGGATGGCTTACAAAACTAAATGAAGACTTTGGAGTGGCTTAGTGAAAGTCCTGGCCTGAATCCGACTGGGATGCTGTGGCAACACCACAGCATCTCAAGTGGAAACCCTCCACTGTGGCTGAGTGGGGCAAAATTCCTCCACAGAGCTGTAAAAGGCTCATTGCCAGTTATCGCAAATGCTTGATTAAAGCTGTTGCTGTTCAGGCTGGAACAACCAGTCATTAGGTTAGGAGAGGGCAATGACTTATTCACACTGGCAGTATTTTGCCCCCCCCCCCCCTTCATAATAAACACTTTCATTTAGAAACTGCGTTGTGTTTACTCGCATTATCTTTTTCTAATATGCAAATGTGTTTGATGATCTGAAAAGTGTGACAAATACTTCCCCAAAAAAAGTAAATCAAGAAGGGGGCAAACACTTCTTCACACCACTGCACAGTAAGATACTGTAATATGTGTAAACAGTAAATTACTGTAAATGCCAAAGGAGTGTGGGAAAGTACCTGCTCACTACTGTGATTCCATTCACCGTGGTAACCTGGCTGAGAAAAAATGGCCAATGAGAGAGAAGATTTCTTTTAAAATACTAAAAGGTTGGTTTAAAGTATTATTGTTATTCATTTACATGTATCTGAGACATTTGTAAGTGCCCTGTCCTCTGACTTGTTTTGTTGCCCTCTGCCTTGCAGTCTGTGACTATAAAGTAAGCAGGGAGAAAAAAAGTTTTCATGTGGTATTTTGATTAGATTTTTTTCCTCTCAGGGTTGTGGTAGAGAGGGTTTCACAACATCTGATTTTTTTTTTAAATTACTGTAAATGAAAAATACAGTATGTTACTGAAAATACTTTTTACAGTAAGTTACTGACATCCAGCTGCCTGTAAGTTAGGAAATTGCTTTAACATTTATAGCAACCCTTGGTAATTTTTTAGTTATTTAATTTTTTTAATTTTTAAATTAACAACCATTTAGAAAAATGACGTTGGTTGTATTATAAATCTTTTACAGTGGAAATGAACGCAAGCTTTAAGAGCTAAAGTGTTACTTCTTTGGGATATGATGGAAACATTTTAAAATTATAACAGTTTTTATCGTCCTAGCATTGCATTAGTTTGACTAGTTTTTTGACTAGTCCTGTTGTTAAAATCACGCTAATGTATGAAGACATGTAGACATTGCACACCAACATATCTGCTGCTGTATTAACACGTGGTAACACTGTTGTATTATGCTGTGAGTTTGTACTGCTGTTGTAATCTCAGTGCCACGTCTTACTAAAAATAAATAAATAAAAACTAACTAGATTCATATGGATGGCAGATAGTTTATTAAGATGAAAATACACAGTATTTTACAAGACATTTGTGTCTTCATTTACACTAACTGTCTTCTGGCTTATTTCCCTCTTCAGATACTGGAAAAATCAACACATGTACACAAACACATATAAATTCAATTCATTCAGTCCACCCCAAGTAAATGTCCCACCCACCCTGCCTCACACTGCAGCGACTGTACACCCCAAAGACATCACATATTGCATTAAATTATATTTTTTTTAAAAGTTTAGTAAAAAAAAGCAAAGTTTTTGAAAAACTGACAACAACGATTAACATATTTACAGTTACAAACAAAAAAAAACTCTCCGCCTCCGTCTGGGTACATCCCAAAATACCACTGACAAGCCTCAATGTTGACAATCCTCTTATAAAGATTACAAATAATCTACAGAGCAAGTGTTTTTGTGTTGCACCATTTTACCTCACTGTTGCTCTTTAACAGACACCCACACAGGGCATGAAGCGTGAGAACAGACCGAGCTTACACCACAGTGGTGCCGAGAGTTCACGGAGTTTGGCGTCGACTCTTCAGCGCCTGATTGTGCCGCGCATATCCTCATAAACATCGTTGACCGGGACTTGTCTTTTTTTCACTGTGCTGCGCAAGGGCTTGGTCTGGGAGGGAAAAGACAATGCCGACTTTTATTTGCAGGTCACGTTAAGCGATTTGATTATTATTCGCTGAATTTTGTGAAGCTTGTTGTTGCTGAGATTTCAGTCTCTCTTCATCTTTGTAACAATACAATTTCTAAAGAGGAATTTTATGATTATACGACTAGTGATGTTTTAACATTTACACACACACACAGATGCTGTCACATCAAAGCACCTACCTTGATGATGATCCATATGAGGAAGACCGTGAGGACGACAATGAGCACAGCAGCACAGATGACCACAGAGACCAGGACCAGGTCACCCTGGGACTGCCCAGTGCACACAGGCCGTGGACTTGGTGCTGGTCCGCTTTCTAGAAATTATATTCAAAGATTATTAAATTGTTTTTAGTGTAAAGTTGTAAATATTTCTGTTTCATTAGGATTTTTCCCTCCATCTGTATTTTTTCATTCTGACATCACAAATTTAAAAAAAATAATAATTCAGAGAAATCAAATTTAGAGCCACACAAAAGCACCAGTCTGTTTAAAAATGAAATGAAACACTTTCTGCCTCTAATATAAATAACAATAAATATAAACAGTCTGATATTGATTGATCACATGAGTGATTAGTTCTACATCTTCCTCTACACTACTTTGGTGGAAAGCACATGTTGAACTCTTACATGGTTTTTGTATAACATAAATGTCCAGTGGAAAACTTTCAGCTCTATATAAGCTATATATAAGCTCTAAATAAACTGTTCAGACTCACCTGTCACCACCAGCAGCACAGACCCATTGCCTCTTGAGGTTTTGAGCTCATAGTTGCTGCTCACTTTGTACACGCACCAGTATGGTCCTGTATCATCCAGGGTCAAGTTTTTGAGGAGAATATCCACATTGGGGAATGGCCCATGAAACTGAAGTCTGTCAGTAAATTTTTGGTTAATAGTAGATTTTTGTAATGTCAAACAAAAAATGTCCTCCTCCTCATTGAGGCCTCTCTTCAAATACAGCATCTCCTGATTGGAAGCACTTCTGCACTGGATGGTGACTTGCTGTCCAACTTTTTTCCGTATCACCTCATAACCATCTGCATGAAAAAGAGACAATACTTACACTCATATCTCACAATACAGTTTGATCACCATGAGTGAACTCTTCCTCCTTACATCATTTACTGTAACACACCTGTCTCAGCCTTACCTGCAGCAGTCCTAGCTGTGCCATAGAGACAAAGGATGAGAATGAAGAGGCAGACAGCAGACATGCTGACAGTCAGTGTCACTCCAGGTTGAGTCGAAGTCTAACTATTCAACAGGAAATGTGTGCATGTTTTTACCACAGCGCCTGACACACTTCTTGAAAGCAACACGTGACGTAGTGGTAACAGTGAGTGACAATGAAAATATAAGCACCGTGCATTCATTATCACTGGCAGAGCATTAAAGCCACCTTTAATCTGAGGTCAAACCAATTTAGCATTTTAAACTTCTCTGGTTTTCAGGCGGGGTATTGTCACTGCTTCATATGTTTTAGGAGCTTGCAGTTGCTCAAAGGGGGGAAAGATGCAACAGGACAAAGACACCTGACAAACAAATACATTAATATGCTTTTCTGCAAAAATAAAGAGCTTTTATTTAATGATAAAATTCCTCAGCTCCTCGGGTCACTATAAATGTGTGTGATCTGAATGAAAACGAGACTGTTCTACATCAAACATTTCTTAAGTATTGTCTCTGGGTGATATAGACTATGTATGTTTATGCAGTGTGCACAAATCGTGTCAAAGTAGGCCAGGAGATTGTCAACAGAGGCTGGAGGGCCATTTTTAGAACACTTACATCGCCCCTTAGCAGCAGAAAAACAGATATTTGGTGTTAACCACAGACTACTGCAGACTGATGTTTATTGTGCGAAGTTTTCACAGCCCTCTGAGTACTTAGCAGGAACTAAGCTCACTGCATAATTCAGCAGCTTATCAAGCCACCTTTTAAAACACTAACTTGAATTAATTGTTTCCTGTATGACTTTATCAGTATTGCACATTGTTGTGGAGGGATTTTGGCCCACTGTTTTTTGCAGTGTAGCTTCAGTTCACTGAGGTTTGTAGACATTTGTTTATGTACAGCAGTCTGAATTTCCCACTAAGCATTTTGATAAGCTTGAGGTCTGAACTCTTACTGGCTCATTCCAGTAGCACTGTTTTCTTTTTAAGTCATTCTGCTTTACATTCTTCCTACTGCATGATATCATTTCAGACGAGCCTTAACAGTCAGACACATGGCCTCACATTTGACTCTAGAATACTTTAGTATACAGAAGAGTTCATGGTTGACTCAGAACAACCAAACCCAAGTCATCACCCCTTCAACAACATGCTTTGTTAAAGATGCAACTTTGCAAACCTGAGCCATGCTGTCACGTTCATTTTACATAGAAGAGACCCTGGCAACCATTTAACACAGGTCATGCTACTGTTAGTGCTTGCTTTCTTTGCAGTTTCTCTGAGCATTGCACAGTCTGACCTTGGGGTGAATTCATTGGGAAATCCACTCCAGGAAAAACAATTAATGTGTGCTTCAGATTTCACTAGTGCTTGCCTGGTGGAAGCATCCTCTTTCATCAGTCTGTCATAAACTCCCTGCCTGCTTGCAATCAGCCTTTACTTTACTACCATCTTGTGGCTGCAGTTGCTATAGTCACAGGAAGCAGGCTTGTCTTTGACCCTACTGAGATCCACAGGGCGTCCCGTCAACAAAGGCTTAAGCTTTTCAAGCTGAGATGCAAGCAGGTTTTTTTCTGCTTGCTTTGCACGTGCACATTGTGGATCAACCTCTGGTCCTTGATGGGAGACAAGTAGCTGCTGGCTCTGACTTCACAGCCTAAAGGGGAGTGTCACAGTTAGTGCAAAAGACTCAAAAGCTCTACAAGACTTTAATTAAGACTTCTGTATTCATAACAAGTAAGAATTTATTGCTAATATTACAGAATATTACCAAAGCTGCTGTCCAAACAGTGGTTTTCAAGTCTTTTTCTTTTTGTCAGTTTAAGGCCGATTACCACAGGGTGGTATGACAGGTAAGATTGACTGTTCTCACGGGTTGCTGGCACATGTTCACTGAGGTTACTTTCATGGGTGTATTCCCAGATGTATTTACTGGGAATGCTTTTCTTCTGCTACTCAGGCTCCAGGTACAGACAAAGTCTCTCCAAATCCACATGTGATTATGTCTTCGTGAGTGCAAAAGCAAGAACAAGTGATTAAAACGAGTCTGAAAGCTGAACTTTTACGAGCCATGGAGACAACCCTGTTAAAACCTCTTCAAAAGCTTCCACCCAGATAGAAATCCATAAATGTTTCTTTTGTTTAATAAGCAGGGAGATTTAACAACTCTACACATTCATATCCACGGATGACTTCATGGGTATCATAAAGAATGCGTTAATGGTAAAAACGCCACTGCAAATTTTTTTGTCCCTCAAGTCTGCTTTGGTCAGGTTTCCCCTGCGTCTTTGTTTGAATTCCTGATAAACGATTTTAAACAAAAATAACAAGAATTTCATGTTTTATTAGAAAAGCAAGCAACTTTAAAAGACAGGGTGCCTGACTCTAAAAGAAAAAAGAAATACATCTCAACAATGAAACAGATTCGTGAACAACACAGGGTCAGATACATAATTAAATCAAATGTCCATCTGAACAGGAACATCTTTGGCTGTTTTGTGTTTTTTTAAAGTTACCTCTAAATCATAAAAACCAAAGTAAGTTTTTCTTTTCTTTTCTTTTCTTTTCTTTTTTGAGCCACTACCCCAAAAGGCCCAATCTTGATCTGTCCTAAAATGAGTCCTTGTGTTTCCTTACTGAACTTATGCATAAACTTTATGCCTTCAGTATGTATCTACAATGTCGAAAGTAGTAAAATAAAGAAAATACATTGAACGAGAAAGTGTATCTAAAGTTGGTTTGGTTTCTGGATTATTTAAGATCTCAGACGTTTTCAGCGCATCATGACACGAGTGGTGCACACGGGGACTGACACAACCAAGTGGTTTCTTGAGTAATGATTTCAACATGTGGCAAACCCCTGACTTTCTCTGTCTATGTGTGGTTTGGATCACATAATTATTATCACTGGTTTTCGTTTCTACTAGACATGGACCAGCGAACTTAGCTTGCAAGCTGGATCCTACCATAGATAACAACACCAACACTTTCTCTCCAGGCTGGACACTTCTGTTACAGTTTTTTTTTGTTTTCATCATAATGAGCCTTTATCTTAGTCTGTGCATGCGTCATATTTTCCTGTGCTAACTGACATGCAAAGTGGAGTCTCTCGCGAAGACTGCTAACCTAATCGAGAGGAAGTTAAGGAAAGTTATTCCTTGGTCAGAATTTTGGGAGCCCAAAGGTAGAAAACAACTTAATCAGGTCCTTTATAACAGTTTTGGCTTGTAGTGTACATAATGGGACAGCTTTTGGGAATCTTTTCACTGAGCACATAGCCATAAATGTTTCAGCAAAATCAACAACATCATCAAATTTACACGATCGCTCAAGAGTAACCACACAAATAGGGAACACACTTGACACAGGGAAAACTCTCCCACCAGCTGAGTCATTTCCCAGAATAAATGAGACTCCTTTAATCAGTAACTGGTAGGTCACGATGACCTTCACTCTATTTCTATGGGTGAATCTCATACCAATACGTCTGAGTTACAAGCAGTTTTATCCAACAATGGCAGGACAGTGTGCAACATAAATGACTGATGCACACCTGTCAGACCTGTTGAATAGAGAAATCACCTAAACAAAAGCTGTCTGACAAAGTGAGATAGGCTCAAAGATTGAAAAAATCAACACATCATGCCACAATCTAAAGAAACAAATGAGACACAAAGAGACTGATGTCTATCAGCCTGGAACGGGTTCCAAAGCCATTTCTAAGGTTCTGGACTCCAGAGAACTACGGTGAGAGCCATTATGCACAAATGGGAAAGACCTGGAACAGCAGTGCATCGTCCCAGGAGTGGTCAACCTACTAAGATTATTCCTCACTGGGCTCAGTTAGGTCAGAGTTCACAATTCAACAATAAGAAAGAGAGAGACTGGGCAAAAATGGCATCTACTGGAGGATTCCAAAGAGAGAACCACCGCTGAGCAAAAAGATCAAAGGTTCATCTCATATTTGCCAAAAAAAACCCATCTTGTTGATCCCCAAGACTTTTGGATATTCTGTGGACTGACGCTATTTGAACGTTTTGCATCTTCTTACATCCGGTGTCAAATTAACAGCATTTCATCAAAGGAACATCTTCCCAACAGTCAAACATGGTGGTGGTAGTGTGATGGTCTGACGCTGCTTTGCTGCTTCAGGATCTCAGTAAGTTGCTGTAATTGATGAAACCATAAATTCTGCTCTCTGCCTGAAAAGATTATTTCTGGCTATCAGTTTTAAAAAGAACAAAACAAAAAGGTTTTGGAATGGCTTAATCAAAATCTGGACTTAAATTAGATTGAGATGTTTTGGCATGATCAGCCAGGACCTTCATAACCAAAAATCATTTCAACGTGGCTGAATTAAAACAATTCCTGCACAATACGGTTACTGTCACATATTTCAGGTTGGTTTGGATGGATTTTTTCTTTTAATTAAATAGATCATCATTGAAAAACTGCATTAAGTGTTTGTCTTTGTCTATTACTAAAATTTATTTGAGGATCTTAAATAACATACGTGTGAGAAATATGTATAAACCTAAGAAACCAGGAAGTGGGAGTACATTTTCACAGTATTGCAGACCACAAAAAACCAAAAAAAACCCAGAGGTGCTCATTCTTTTTAACACTGGTCTGTTTAATGCTTGTAGACTTGCTGAAATGAAACTCATTAGATGAAACACAGTAACATCCTCTACAATACTTATATTTTCTTGTAAGCCCCTGTGTTGAAATCCTACTTGGTTTTTGGACAAAGAAAATGTCTGGGGGAATATGTTCAGCTCAAAAGGTCTCTCTAGAAGGATAAATGAACGAATGAGGCTCCCCTGTCACCACGAGGAGCACAGACCCTGAGCTTCTTGTGGTTTTAACTGCATAGTTCCTCTCAGTTATTTTGTACACGCACCTTCACAGTCCTGTATCTTTTAGGGTCATCTTTTTTTTGATGGGGAATTTCCCATGAAGCTGAAATCTTTCAGTAAATTTTTGGTTAATTGCAGATTTTTGTGTAAATCAGTGAAAAAAATGTCCTCTTCCTCATTGAAGCCTCTCTGTGAAGGTCTGCCAGCGCAGACCTTCACAGAGAGGAGGAGGGACCAAACGCAGAC